TGTAGTGTTTTTTCAACAATTATAGCCAGATATGTTGAGAATTACTATGGACAAAATAAAGTATCAAAATAGATATGTTACTGCGTATCAATCAAGTCGACACTGATTGGATATATAAAATAGAACATTCTGAACAGCACTTAATTGAAATTTTTAACGCTTTTACAAAATAGTATCTCATAATAAAATGCTGGAAATTGCACAACATAAAAAAATATAGAAAACTACATAAAAGTATACGAATTTTTATTCCTGAAATAACTGCTATTTAGTTAGCTTGTTCTAAGTTTCTTCAAATTTGGTTAAGTATTTACACTGTGAGAAGGAACAAATCACGTGATATCAATAATCTCCTGGAAAGATTAAAGAAGCTTAGAAAGAAAAAAAAAGACTAGAAACTATGACCCCTAAAAATCGAGTGTGTCCAGCATCTCATCATATATATTACCAATAAACATCTCAAGAGCTCTGGGTGAGGCACTCATGAAACGTTTCTAGGATTACACTGCTAAATGGGAGGAGGCCTGGATTTTATACCAAAATATGTTATTTTGCCAGTGTGAGAGGAATGCACTGGGGACGTCAGGTCTTTGTAGGGAACGATCAGCTAAAGCAGGGTGTCTCCTACCTCTGAAAGGATGTGCAAACATTCAAAGAGGTCCCTCTGGAAGAGCTTTGCTGAATGGCAAAGATTCATAGAGGACTTCAACATCCTTCTGTCATCCTTCTTAAGGTGCAGATTTGTGTAAACTGTATGTTTGTATACGTGTGCACGTGCCTGATTTTAGTTTCATTTATTCTTATTTTTATCTTGTAAATTAGTTTTGCTTGGTTAAAAACATTTTTATCATATTTATTTCCACTGTACGTATTTCTATATGTCGTTTGAGATCAGTTATTTTAAGCAATGAGAGATTTCTGTTTGGGACTTTTATTATTGATTCACAATTTGTGAGTGTTAACCAGTTATAAGTTGAATTTTATTCATGTTGTATTTTAATTTTTCTTTGTAAACCATGTTTTAAGTCGATTATAATTGACTTTATTCTTTTGACTTATAACTTAAGAAAAACTTTGAGTTTAACATGATTTGATTTATTTGGTTTATTTTGTTTCATTATAATACTATGAATCTCATAAGAGCTAGCTTATGCTGTATTATGTGTACTTTTATTTATTCTTAGCTGTAACTATTTCACTTTTCTGCCAGAATATCTATTTTTCTCACTTACTGTGAGTCTAATTCGATGACGAGGAACCCACTTTGAGACTAATAATGGCTGGAGACGGCTTTGCTGTCATGTTAAACTTATATTAAAGTTTTTCTTCATTACCCATTTAAGCCGTCTCCAGCCATTACTGTGAGTCTATTCTATTCAGCCCGGCATGGCGAGGTGGTTAGGCCATTTCAGCCAGGGGGCGTTATTATGTGACGGTCAATCCCACTATTCGTTGGCAAAAGAGTAGCCCAAGAATTGGCGGTGAGTGATGATAATTAGCTGCCTTCCCTCCAATCTTACACTCCTAAATTAGCGACGGTTAGCGCAGATAATCCTCGTGTAGCTTTGCCCGAAATTCATTACAACCAAACAAATAAACTATTCTATTCTGTACTGTAGTTTATGGTTGTACAATAACATGCGTATTTACCAAATATATTGTATCTTCAACTTAGTTTCATTTCTTTTATATTTGTACATAGTTTATTTATTTCCCGTGTTTTACTGAGTTGTATCATTTTGAGTCCTGCTGTAAAATATTCAGCTTGTGTTTTAAGTCATTCGTTATTTTATTCACTTTTATGTCTTTAAGTCACTCATTATGTAATGTGCTTCATTCCCTGTTTTAAACTTGTTGTGGTCTGTATTTTTTATTTCTATTTTTAGTTATTGTAATTCTAATATGTATCTTAATCACTTTTGTACTTTTTGTGAACGTTTGCATTTATTCTATGCGGATGCACAATGAAAACGCAACAGTATAAATTTTACATCAATAGCTAATTGAGTACGTACAGAACACTATTTGCATTTGAATGAGTAAAGAGGTTTATTGATTGTTTGAGTAGAACAAAATACTGAACTCAAGTCACTTGATTTCATGAATACACCAGGTGCTCAGTGCGTTTCTCTTGGGCATCAATGTATATTTTACTTCACTTTATATATTATTCATTTTCAAATTATGTTTATTTGATTGGTTTGTTTGGTTGTAGTTAACCACAAAGCTACACAATAGGCTATCTGTACTCTGCCCATCACGGGTATTGAAACCCGGTTTCTAGCGTTGTAAGACCGCAGACATACTGCTGTGCCACTAGGAGCATTTATCTGAATATTATTCGATTTACTTCTAATGTATGTTGAACTTTAAACTTGACTGGCTGAATTCTTTCTTCAATAAAATTCTTGCTTTGTGTTTTCATGTGTAAGTGCATATCGTATAAGAATGTGTTTAATGGAAGATATCACTATATAAACCCCCTACACTGATAAACATAACACCAACATTATTTATAAAATACAATGCACCAACTGCCATGACTTCTTTATCGGAGAAACAAGCCGAAAAATGGAAACCAGATTTAATGAACACAGAAAAACACCTTCACACGTTTTTGAACACTGCAAAACAAATAAACACAGCATAACCATAGAAAACATCAACATAGTAAGTAGAGAAACAAAGGCAAACGAACGCAAAACAAAAGAAGCCGTACTTATTCAAGAACTCAAACCCAAATTGACCCAACATAAAGGAACACCTTTATACCTATATTAATCACCTAAAATCTAACTGATACGTCCCCTACAATCTCGTACCTGTTCGTTCACACTCTCGTCCCTAAGACATGTGCCCAGTAACGGACAGTTTCAAACTGTCTTTATAAACCTGAAGATGACCCAAGAAGATCGAAACGTTGTTCTTGTACTTTGCCCTCCAGTGGCACAGCGGTATGTTTGGGGACTTACAACTCTAGAAACTAGGTTTCGATACCCGTGGTAGGGTATTCAGATGTATTCAGTAATTGTTTTTCAACATTTTTTTGTGCAGGTATTGTGCATTTAGTTCATTTCTTCATGAACAGGATGTAAGTAGCCACAAGCTTGTTTTTCTCGTTGGCTGAGACTAAGGTTACATGCTACAATAATCATTCTAAAAATTTATACCCGCTTATTCTAGCATCATGAGAGTAGGTTATATCCAAGTGAAAGGGTGGTGTAAGAGTCAGTAAGGTCTAATAGTTAATCCTCCCTTAAATATGTATAATGAAAATAATAATTTGTGTACGTAATCTAAGATTGAGGGATACTGGCTTGAAAGTGTAGAGTGAAGACGTACTTTCTCCTCCTGTCCCATCAGTCAGATAATTATAAGAAACATTGAAACCAGCTAGTAATGTACGGAAACGACAAGAAGTTATATGTAAAAATACATATTTTATTTAACTCTATTTACATTTGTATTTAAGTCCCTCTTTTGTTAACAATTTTTAATTTATTCTCTGCAGTACATTTCCTTTCGTACCTCCCGTTTGAATTCTTAATAATACTTGTCAGTTGGTTCTGGTTTTAAACCAAGGCTATGAGTATACTAAAACTATTCACAAGAACTACGCAAAATAATAATATAATCAATAAGAGTCCATCCAAACACCATGTTGAAAACACCTTTGATATGAATTCTACGTCAATAGACTGCACTTAAAGAGGCATTAATAGTAATTAAACACGCCAAGTTCTATTGAATGATAAGATTTGTTTATAGGTTTGTTGGATTTCGCGCAAGGCCGTACAGGAGTATTCTGCTCTAGTTGTCTGTCCCTAATTTTAAATTGATTGACTAGAGGGAATACAGATAGTCAACTCCACCCACCATTAACTCTTGGGCCACTCTTGTTAACGCAAATAGTGGGATTTGTCACTTATAACGCACCCAAGGCCTCAAAATACGAAGTGCGATTATGTTTTTTTTTCATCAGTAGGCTTCACTCGGCTCAACTTGTTATTAATAACGCAAATCAAGAGGTACATATATATATATATATTAACAGGTTTTTACACTAAAACATTGGTTTTCTTATACTGTATACAAATATCACTTTAGAGGCACTTTTAGCCACCATATGCCGAGTCTTGAGAGCAGTGACTTGAGGCAGAAGAAAAAAACAAATCTGAAATTTTATTTTTCACACACCTCTGATTTCAGATGTATAACATAGTAATTAAAATAAATGGGATAAAAGCATTTATTGTGAGTTTGATAATTTGTGTTATACCTAAAAAATATAAGACCACGTGGTGAATTTGATAATTTGTGTTAGACCTAAAAAATACAAGACCACGTGGTGAATTTGATAATTTGTGTTAGACCTAAAAAATATAAGACCACGTGGTGAGTTTGTTAATTTGTGTTAGACCTAAAAAATATAAGACCACGTGGTGAGTTTGATAATTTGTGTTAGACCTAAAAAATATAAAACCACGTGATGAGTTTGATAATTTGTGTTAGACCTAAAAAATATAAGACCGCGTGATGAGTTTGATAATTTGTGTTAGACCTAAAAAATATAAGACCACGTGGTGAGTTTGATAATTTGTGTTAGACCTAAAAAATATAATACCACATGGTGAGTTTGATAATTTGTGTTAGACCTAAAAAATATAAGACCACATGGTGAGTTTGATAATTTGTGTTAGACCTAAAAAATATAAGACCACGTGCTTTAAATGAAACAATTGTTTCGACTTTCCGCCTTTGGTAACAATAAAAGCTCAAGCCACTTTTTTTTATCAAGGTTATTCACTAAATCATCTGAAACATTTAGAAAATAATAAGCATAAACACAAACAATTTCACATATTACTTTAAATAAAATGGCAAAGTTTTAACAAAGAAACTATGTTGTTATTATTTTCTAATTTTATTTTGCGTGTTAATCAGATCTTGAAGAACCATACTCGAAAGACCTCAAAAGTTACCCTTTTTTATATTCACAGTTGGAAGAATGAACTTAACACTTGCAGCTCCAACGAAAGAAAACATCTTTAGAATTGTTTCCCAGCTTCAACCAGGTGGTGCTTGGTCTCCGTATTCTTGCAAATCACGTCATCGTGTAGCCATCATCATTCCTTTTCGAGACAGACATGAGCACTTGATGATTTTGCTCTACCACCTACACCCCCTTCTTCAACAGCAGCTATTAAATTATAAGATTTATGTTGTTGAACAAGTAAGGATATTGTAGATATTGCATATTGATTTTCAAGTATTGTTATTAATTTCATTTATCTACAATTTTTTTATAATATTTAGGAATACTTTTAAGATTCGAGTTAAAATGAAATGAAAAGCTATTGTATTTTTTGGACAAGCGTTACCCCTCCCCCCCCAAAAAAAGTGATATGCATTATCCCAAAATAACGGGAGAAAAAATTAGCTGTTCCGTTAGTTTCGCTGTTTTTAATGTTGAATAATGCTATGGTACGAGTTTTGAAAATAGAAAGATGTTGTCTTACTATTTATAATTTTTTGAATTTGAATTATATTTCCCAAACAACCTTAGGGATACGGGAAAACGTTCACATTTTGCAACTTGTATAATATAACATTTTATTTTGTTATTATCGTTTCAGATGCTGTTTAATTCGTGAAGTTTATAACTGATGAGAAATATGAATTGATTGATTTTGTATTAACAATGTGTACCGTTTTATTACCAAAATAGACTAAAAAAGCATGGATGACATCACAATGAAGATATTTTAATAGTTTTCAAATTAAATGTAGGTTTTTCTAAATAACTACATTTTACTTAGAATCGAATTGGTCTGCCTTTTCTTCATGGTAAAAATATTTAAGCCGTAGAGTCGTCTCCTGAATTTGTAAATTATTTGGCTAGTTACCATCACGCTATTAATATGCCTTAAAACAAGACAGTAATTATAAGATAAGGGAGAAGGTCTTGTCAACTCTGCTACTAACTGTATCTTATCGTCGGTGTGTGGCTACATCTGTAGTGCAGGTAACTTGTTTCTACGATGTAGTCTAATGCGCGTGTATATATATATATATAATACGTATCTCATATTACTTTGCGTTAAATGTGTATATATATATATATATATATGCGTGTATGTGTTACTGTATTATTTTTCTCTCGTATAAATCATTTTGTGTATTGTATCATTTCTTATTTATTGACCCGTATATAAATATACCAATACTTAATTCTAGTACGGAAATGGAACGTTTAATAAGGGCGTCCTAATGAACGCAGGAGTTCGAGAATCACTGAAGGAAGCCGCTTATCACTGTTATGTCTTCCATGACGTGGACATGATCCCAGAGGACGACCGGAACATGTACTCTTGTCCCCAGTTTCCGCGGCACTTGTCTGTTGCTGTTGATAAATTTAATTATACGTAAGTAGTACACTACTAGGTACATATTTTATAATCACTTATTAACAAATGCACCAGCAATCGTTTGGACACCTGAGTGTGCGATACTTAAATGTAGTGCTTTTAAAATAATTGAAATAGTTCTTTTTTCATAAGCTGGTTTTGTCCTCCTATTGCTAGACTGAAGATGACGTTTCACGTCAAAAGTCTTCACGAAACTGACGTGTGCAGTTTATTTTTTCTTTTCAAAGCACAAAGCTACACAATGGAGCATCTGTGCTCTGCCCACCGTAGGTATCGAAACCCGGTTTTCAGCGTTATAAATCGCACAGACTTATCGCTGAGCCACTGAGGAACCGTAGAGAAAGATAAATAGGTTTGGTATTGCTGAATGAATAGAATATATTCCCATATTTGTAAAAACAAACAAACAAAACAAAAACAACTCATCAGCTATACAAATAAAAAAGACAATATTACACAGTAAACAAGGTTTAATCTTAAAACTTTCCACGTATTTTATTTAAACATCTTTAAGGCATATCGACATCTCCGACAACGTTCTTTCACGGCTTTCTGAAACTAACACTCGAATAACTAATAATCTGTACAGATGGATAAACCTATCACGAGATGTCTGCAAATAACTACGTCAGATCGCAACCTAAGAAGCTAGAGATAAAAACCACGAGTATTGTTTACTTTCGGCAAAATAAAGAAGCATTTAAAATAAAATCAACTTTCAAAATAGCGAATATTATATTTAATTCCTTAGAGTTATTCCACTTTAAAGAAGATAATTATGTCTCAGGAAGTCTAATGAAACATATGAAACAAAATAGTCTCAAGTTTATGAAAATTACATTTTCAAAGTATTTTCACATATTTTGGTGTTATATTGTACAATAGGGGTTCAACTGACTTATAAATATACTACTGCCAATTTGTTTTTGATTATTTTCAGAATACAATTTGTGTTTAAAATACTTCAATTTCTGTTGAAGGAAAGAGTGCTAAACGGCTTAAGTTATATATTGTAATAGTTCCCTGTTGTCTGAACTGAAAAAGTGGGGAGGGGGGAACGGAAATAGATTGACAAAGTTTCTGAGTATTCACTTGCTGTAAATAGCATTAACAAAACACATTTTAACAGTTAGGGAGTGGGAACGGAAATAGATTGACAAAGTTTCTGAGTATTCACTTGCTGTAAATAGCATCAACAAAACACATTTTAACAGTTAGGGAGTGGGAACGGAAATAGATTGACAAAGTTTCTGAGTATTCACTTGCTGTAAATAGCATTAACAAAACAAATTTTAACAGTTATGCGAGATATGTTTTTCTAGCTTACTGTTTTAAGACTATGAGGAGTTCCTCCAATCTTTGTAATTACTGTTTTTTCTGAAGAGATTGTAACATATGATCTAACACAGTGTTTCTTTGTCCCCCGGTGGGACAGCGGTAAGTCTTCGGATATACAATGCTAAAATCAGGGCTCGATTCCCCTCGGTGGACACAGCAGATAGCCCGATGTGCCTTTGCTATAAGAAAACACACACACACAACTTCTTTACTGTATATCCGCGGACTTGCGTCACTTGGTAGCCTGACATGGCCAGGTAGTTAGGGCTCCCAAATCGCAATCTGAGGGTCGCGAGTTCGAATCCCCGTCCCACCAAACATGCTCGCCCTTTCAGCCGTGGGGCGTTATAATGGGACGGTCAACCCCACTATTCGTTGGTAAAAGAGTAGCCCAAGAGTTTGAGGTGGGTGGTGATGACTAGCTGCCTTCCCTCTAGTCTTGCACTGCTAAATTAGGGACGACTAGCGCAGATAGCCCTCATGTAGCTTTACGAGGTTGTAAAACACTGATCTAACACAACTATCACATATATTTTTTTTAAGTGGGTAATTATTTTTTTACTTCGAACTGAAAAAGTCAATCGTTGTCACTGTAACCGATGTATTCAGTAGGATGAATAACACCCATTATTTTATTTGTTTGAATGTATGAAATAAAAAATAAATCCAAAGTTGTATTTTATTTAAAAAAATTAATATGTTATATGTTGTCACTGAGCTTGTAGGGATAGAAACGCCGATGGCCACTGATTAAGAGTTAATTTTTACTGTATAAGAATGGAGCTCCAGTTTTCGTGCTGCTTTGAGAAGTATTGTCAGTTGTGCTCATTCTTGTGGCCATAATTGTACACTATTGTTCGATGCCATAGTTTCCATTGTAACACGTTTCTGCGAATGACAGTGAGGTTAATTTTAGACCACATACCTCGATACATTTTCCTCAAAACCTCCACTGTACGGCTTTCAAGATAATGTTTATATACATCATTAGTGTAAAAGTCCAAATAAGATACGGTATTGGACTTGTCAAGTATGTGGACTGATGGGATTGCTCTAGTTGTAGTTTCTTTAATCATATTTTTTTTTGAGGCAACAGAAATTGTTTTCGATGTATTGCTAGAAAGCTTTCTTCATCCTCAAATCATTATTTATTATTTTTAACGATATCAGAAGGTATTATTACAGCTTTGTTACAAATCACTATTTGGGTTGACTGATTCTCTTTCGCAATGGTAGCTTTCACTTTGAAGATGACACTATTGCTTCTGATTGACTCAGGGAGTGGTTTTGGAGCTCCTTGTTTTAAATGTTACGTTGTACGTAATGTTATGTTAAGTTTCTCCAATTCCATAAAAAACGTTGAAAGAAAAATTCCTTTCTTCGGAGTGTTCCCTTGGTTCAACATCATTTAGCAATTCAGTAGAACGAATATTTCTTTTTGGAAAAGTCTGTGAAAGTCACTTTTGTCATAAGTCTAACAATTATAGATACGACATATCATAATATTATGTTACCTTTTTATTCAATATAAATACTTTTTCTATTACAAGCTTATTACGAGCTTTTTGCTGTTTTTATGTAAGCTGTCAGTTATTTGTAAGTTCTTTGAGAAACATGCAAAAGTCAAGTGGGTGCGAGATTATCTTGCTCGGTATGTATTGATACAGTTACTACCCATAGAACAAAAAAACGATAATTTGAGTCGAAGGTCTCACTTCTATAATCGCTCACGTTATCAAGTTTCTTGTTTTTAAGCCAGTGTGATTTCTTGCTATTTTGAGAATATTATAGTTCGGTACACTTTCTAAATAAAGCTCATCTTTAGGTGTCAGATATCAATTCTCATAGGGAAGAGCTTAAAATTTTGTACTTTTTTTGTAGATTTATGCTAAAAAACAAACAGAAACAAGAAGGAATCCTCAATAGCCGCGGCACTTGAAATTATTTTAGGCAGGATTAGAGTACATTAATCTATGAGACCTTTGTTTCCCCTTTTTATTAGCTACATTTTTGTGCGCCAACAATACCAAGCGTGGTGTGCGCATATACTCGATTTGATTTTATTACTCATCAATATCTCTATCAGCCTACCCTCAAATTGAAATTCTTTAGGCAGGATTGGAACAAATTAATCTATGAGACGGCTAAAAAAATAAACCTAGGAAGTAAAATAAGCTTATGTTAAATTGAATTAGCATGGAAATATATAATTTGTTTGTTTAGCTAATATCTATACAATAAGCACATCTGCGGACTTACAACGCTAGAAACCGGGGTTCGATACCCGTGGTGGGCAGAGCACAGATAGCCCATTGTGTAGCTTTGTGTTTAATTACAAACAAACAAACAAACAATCATTTCGATTATTCCTAAGTCAAACATGTATTAACTGAAGAGGGTCTGAATAGGAAAGTGTGCAAAAATTTTAAAGATGAAACTTACAAACAAGAATGGAAAAACATAGAGCAGAATAATATGTATATATCATTTTCATACTAGAACAAATATTCTACTGCTATTTCAAAATGTCGTCTTGTTCATGTTACTAACTAGCCACCCGCACGTGTCACATTTGTCTATATGGATATAGAAAGGATCTTCTTGAATTAAAATGGATTTTGTATTTAAACAACTACTATTGTGTACGAAAAGTTTGCAAACGCTAAATATTAGCGCGTAGCCGCAGTTGCGAGCTATAGCCATTCGGGTGACATGTTTTGTAACTATGTAAATTGTTTACAGTAAATTTCTGACAATACAAAACTTTATTTATGATGTTATTAAGATTAATAATACCTTTAATATGTTTGTAATATATACTAACACTACACCTGTAAATAGATACTGACAGCATTTGTATGATTTATCTCACCTTTTCCCCTGTTGAAGCTTGCATGCAAATTTCTTTAGTAACAGAAATGAACGAAACCATTCCGAGTATATGAGATATTAAAAAGAACTTATAGATAAGGGAAATTTTTAGAACATTGCTTTTTTTATTGAAATATTATATCGCATTATTTGTTATCATATTGTATCATACCATGTTGAATCCTATTATATTGTTATATTTTTAATACGCTTTACAGGTTACCTTATACCTATCTCGTTGGCGGAGTGTTTGCTCTAAAAACAAATCATTTTATACAAGTTAATGGCTATTCTAACCTTTATTGGGGCTGGGGTGGTGAAGATGACGACATAGCACATCGGTAAGTAGATTTAATAATAGATTTGCTAGGAAATGGAAGGGAAAATCTTGAGAATCATTTCAATATCCTTAAAAATATATACGACATTTAATGCAAGATGAATTGTTTAAACCACAACATCGACCTTTGGCGTAATTTGCTCGATGAAGGTATACCTATGTCATATTAAAAGTGTCATTAAAAGCTATATTAAACTCAGTATATGATGTTGTTCTTTTAACTTTCTTTTTTTAAGTGAATCAGTAATCTGTCGCACCATCTATCGGTTGATAATGAAACAATGTTTTGAAAATGTGTTGTTTGATAAAGCATATCTCGATTAGTAGAATTAATTCCAAATTTATTTTACATTATTAAAATATTATGATGTATAACATAAAAAACTTTTAGTTAATAAAAAAAATGTTCTGTGAAATAATAAATCGAGGAGTCGTTGTATGCTTAAAGCATTTGTTGAATAAGTTTCATATTCCTGAAGGACGTCGTGCTAGATGGAAGATTTTTTAATTTCTCTTATTTAGTCGATTAGGGATTTCAAATGAGAAGTGTGCACCGCCAACTTTTGTCGTTTAACAATGCAACATTACAGTTTACATACTACGTATAAAATAACATTTTAAATAAACATTTGACTGTCATTGTGGTCCAATCGTGATGACGAAATCCTAGTTCACACTTGTGGCAGATAAATTATATTTTTACATTTGAAATTCTTAATGGACTAAGCGATAAGAATGGAGAAATACCAACAGAAGAACGTGATCTTTATCACAAATATTAAGCTTGTTGGTTAGTATTTCTTAGCCAGCTTCCAGCGTTTAACACCGAAACATCTATTGAATAACATCTATTGCCATGACTGTTTGACTTTTGTAGAATTTACAGGAGATTTGTTTCTAGTTCTTGTAACAATTCTGAAAGAACAGTTGTGTTTGTCGTTTATTGCTAAGAATAGCTTGTATCCTTTTGACTACAGACGTTTAATAGAAAATAAATAAGCCTTCTCGTACAAGATCAGGTTGAATGGCTTTTCTTTATCAATAATATCAACACTGTAATAACCTCCCTCGGGATTAAAACTTAAAACATTAGCTTTTTTAGTGTTTTACATTCGGATGAATTTCTTTCTTTGTACTAGCTTAAAGAAACAAAAGCTGGAAATTATTCGACCTCCTGAATCAATAGGAAGATATACCATGATAAAACACACCCATAGGCCTGAATCGCCAAATGTAATCAGGTAAGAGCTTCTTAATTTCAGTAGGAAGATATACATCAAACATAAAATAATACATCGTAGCAGTAAACACATTTACAACGAAATCAAACTTTACTGCTAAAACTTCCAGTACTTAACTATAATTAACAGAGACAAATTATATTATTTAACGCACTTAACTTACAGAAATAAAGCTAATGATAATTATGTTGAATAATATTACACATGTTAACTGAATTAGAAATAGTACTTCAAAACAGTGTCTGCATTAGAGTGCAGGTGCTTTTTATGTAGAATTTCGACAAATAGAAGCAAAGAACAACGAGGGTTGACTGGTTGAGAGTTAAAATTATTTCTCTTAGTTTGTACATATGTGGGATCATCTATAAACGCTAACACAGTATTACCAAACCTTCTATTTTAAATTCATAACGTTGGTAAATCAATGATAATAAATAATGATAACTCATTCGTTCTTTTGATCTTCATTTCGATATTTAATTAATAGTATTTCCACTCTCTTCTTCAGAATCGCCTTATCTCTCTCTCAGTGAACAACAGAATTTGAAAGGATTAATATATATATTTATCAAATACAGGCATTCGCATGAGCATAACAACATAACTTTGTTTAAAATATTGATATGTCTATCAATTAATTACTAAAATATTGTTTTTAAAGTTCAGACAGTGCCCATGAAAAATTAGGCTAAAGTGAATTCCTGTGTGTGCTCTTGTTCTCACTTTTTAAAGTTATATATTTCACTTGTGTTTCACTATTTTTGGTCCGCGGTGGCTCAGTGGTAATTTTCAGAGCTTATAACGATAAAATTCAGGATTTGATCCGAACGATAGACATATTATATTTTCACGTTAACAGATTTTCTGAAAAAGCGTTAAGCTTTATTACAGAAGGATCAACAGGATAAACTACAATGTAACTCTGAGTTCATTTAAGAAATAAGGAAAAAAGCTAAGAAATAAAGAGACTTGATACGATATCTAATTTATATAAAATACACAGTATACATACTAGCGTTGTACACTTGACGGTCACCTTCTACTGGGCACGTGATTTGATCATCTGTTATTCCTCTCTACAGATATCTTTACATCGACCAACACACTCAAGGTCTGAGTTAGACTGTTTAAATCTAACGCGACTTACTTAACGGAAACTTCGGATTTACCCATAGTGACTTGGGTTTACTCGTGACTGGTCATTCTCCTACAACGCAAGGAAGGCCATAACCTTTCTATATGAACTGCTCCACCAGTGAAAGACACGACTGTTGTTGACATACCATGATTATCCTTCTCCATATGTTTCAGGCTTGTCCTAAGCCGACAATTAAATTTAACTTTAAAACCAATTAACTTTATGTATGCGATATGGTCAAAAAGCATGTTAACTTTCTCCCATTCTCGTGCCCCCCCCCCCCAGTGGCACAGCGGTATGTCCGCAATTTACAACGCTAGAAAACAGGTTTCGATACCAGTGGTGGGCAGAGCACAGATAGCCCATTGTGTAGCTTTATGCTTATCTTAAAACCTAACTTAATCTCAGTTTACGTTTACATGTAATTTGGACAACACAACTTTTAAGTAAAGAACTATTATTCAAATATCCAAGTCAAGAATCCTTTAAAATGATTCAAAATACAATATATAATGAAGAAAAAGACAACCTTTATAACTAAATTAAAGAACTAATATAAACTATGATATATTATGTAAAAAAATACAAAATTTCTATTATGGATGTATGCACCAATGTGTGATGGAAGGAAGTTGGTGATATTAGATTTATGTTTTTAGTAGATTTGGTTGGTCCTAGCAATTGATCCTAATTGAATCTGTAGCTGCTTCCTAATTTTGCGTCTGTTGTTTGGATTATATATGATAGGCAGAATATCCCCCCCCAAAAAAAATGTTTGGGTGCTATGGCTACAAAAATATTCATTTTAAAATGATACCATATATACTTTTGTATAAATGATATAACTTTCAATTGTTTCCTTACAACTTTGCTAGGGCAATCATATAATACAAATGTTATTTTACGTAATTATTTCATCAGGGCTTTTCACACCTGGATAATCCCCATTACGCCTTTGATGTAATACAAATATAGTCTCTTTAACATAGATCCTAAGTACACACAAACATGTATGATATACTATTTAACACATAAAATTACCTATTAAAAAATAACTTGATCACCTACCCCTTTATGAAGTGGAAGTCTAACACATTATGCTTGAAAATGCATTATGCAAAATGACATCTTTTTGAAACACATAAAAATTCATACATTAAAAATTCAAAGTGCATAAAAATTTACACTCAACATAACAAAATGAACATTACATGATCACTCACTGTAAGCCATAAAAATCCCTTTTGTTGTTCAAATAATAAATAAATTTCATTGAGAGGAGTCTGATAAAATGTGAACGTCCTACAAAATACTGAATCACACTTCTATGATCAATATCACAATTCATCAAATACACACATACATATATAAAATGACATGAACCCTTTACAAAATCCATGCAAAGAAATGAACTTTTAACACAGACGACCCATCAAGTTCCATTCCCCTCAGAAAAATCAAACATAAAGAACAAACTGCAATGCTAATTAAACCCTTTCTGCGAAGCCATAACATGAAATAACATTTATAATGCGATACAAGAAACAAAATAAAAAAATATAATAAGAACATCACATCAAGAAACTCTTTGTAATTGGCTACCCTGGGGGCATAAGGTTTTTCATGGCCTTGGTTAGGGCTGTCTTTAGATCTAACAGCTCAACTTGCAAGTAGCACATTTTTTTCTTGAATCAACATTGAGGTGTGACCCTCCATCATAGCTAATTCACCTCTCTATTCTAGAGGGTCCACACATCAGTCCAGGATGGGCCATCTACTGACAACGTCTCTTCAACATCAAAATTTACTCTCGTATGGGGTGGATGTTGGGTTGGGATCTCCACCCTCACAGTCTCTTGGATTGTTCCCTCTTGTCATTGGTGTTCCAGGAGCTGGATGGTGGCTTCTTCTGCCATATATGTTAAGGTTCCATCATACTCCTGGTGTAGTGTTGATGGAGGAGATGGCTTTCTCATTGGCATTGTGAAGAAAGTGGTGGTGACCACAATGGAGGTATTGGACCAGGTGGTCATAATGATAGTGGCTGCAAACTTCATCTGAAGACCATTCCACACCTGCCTCTCCGAGGCCTGGTCGTCTCTCGAGAGGATCTAAGCTACAGAAAGGTCATCTTGGGCTTCAGAATGTAATGCACCTGTTGGAGGTGGAAACACATCTGATGACAGTTGTGTGTGGGGATTTCACACCCTTTGACTGTACATCTGTCTAATAGGTCCCATTTTTTCTTGGATGGCTCTGTCTCCTTATTAAATGGTTTCAGCAGTGGCTGCACAGAGAGCTGCTGGCCAATTGAAGACTTGGTTATTCTGTGTATTCTATGTGGTGTTGGATGATATTGTTCCCTTTGTTACCAGTACGTTCAGAGGAGGCTTAAATCACACAGAACCTATAGCTGCTGGTAGGGGTTGATGAACTCCTGTAGACCTCAGAGGCTATTCCAGTGATAGATGTGGCAAGGTCTGCTATGTCCAATGCATTGGTCAGCAATACGCCTTTCTTCAAACAAACAAACAACCCTGAACTATCTAAAATCCTTTGGAGATTGGGTCGTAACATTATAAATTAGTTCATCGACATTTCAATGGGGTTTCCATTGAAATTCATGCACTATACTACCAGTAGAAGATTTATCCTTTGTGCCTGAGAACTTCCCGATTCCCAGGCTTCACTAAGTTTCTCATTTACCAATATCTTTAGCCGTGCTGTTCTCTGTCGACCCTGCTAGACCAGAGATAACACAGCGTACCATCTAACCTGACCTCATTCCTCTCTCTAAATTTTGTTATTGTATGGCTAGAGTGCAGTTCCAGCAGAAAGAAATAGAGTTGAAGATGCAGCATATGAGCTGACTTGGGTTAGGTGATGTCAAGCCTTACTTTTGACCATTACAATACACTAACATTTGTAGACATTTTTTTCTTGGGGAACTTCTTTCAGTTACAAGTTTAATACTAGTTTTTGTGTCACTTGCAAAGGTTTCACGACGTGGGTGTCGCTTTTAGCTTATCCTAAGTATACCTACGGCTTGAATTTTCATAAATTATTACTGCACATTGTACTGAAACTACGTTAAGAATCTATTCACTAAAACTGTGTGTTTATTAAACATATTTCAATCTGCATTACTGAAACTATTATATCAGAACCAAATAATACACTGGTATCCTAGTTCATCTATGTTATGCTATCTAAGCCACTGTCTGATAATTTCATTTAATACATATAAGTTCAGCCACTCTAGAATATTTCGATTGAATCGAATCGAAATATCTTGCAGTACTCTTCATGAAAAATAAAGGAGAAAAAAAATGTGTTTTCTCTCATATGTAGCATGAGTTTTTGTTACTCTTACCTCTTCTACAAAACTTGCTCTATGATGAATATTGCAATGTCAAAATCGAAACCTTCTCTCACCAGTATTAATGAAAATTACAGGTGCACTTTACTTTCAGATAATACTTTCCACCTGAGTTATCATTGTGAACATCATATCACAAAGTCTTAACACTGAGATCAAATCCTTTGTCTCCATGCACATGCTGCCTGCTGTTGTGTTTGTTTGTAGTTTAATCACAAAACTACACAATGGGGTATCTGTTCTCTGCCCACCACGGGTATCGAAACCCGGTTTCTAGCATTGTAATTCCATAGACATGCCGCTGTGCCACTGGGGGGCACCTGTTGTTGTGTTCTTTATGTTATTGATTCATTTGTGTTATACAACACTTATGAATGACTTATGTAATTTTCGCATATGTTTGAAAGACTAGATATGTATAGTTATCTATACAAATTTTGTGCATTGTTACATACTCTTGTAGCTTATGTAGCTTATAACAAT